GTGCCCGTTTTTTATATTTTTTTGTGAAATTTCTCTACACATATATGTCTTACCTGATTTCACCTTTCCTTGAATTGGCGGGAAAATGTTTTTTTTTACTATTGCTATGAATATCAGTGATGCTATTTTTATTATAAACATTATAATTACTATAATGTTATAAACAATAATAATAGCAAAATAAGATAACATAAAATATTTTCGTAAAATTTTAAAAATAGGTAAACAGACGAGACAGGCGGTACTCGTAACTGGCTCACTGGTGATTTAGTACAAGTGTAGCCATCTATGTGTGAAAACAATTAAACAAGTAAACTCAAAGTGGGCATGTGAGTTTATATACACATATACAAAATCTTTCATCTCAATCAAATATATAAATAATGCACACACACGTATATATAATACACACATACACACACACACTTGTGCACATTCATTAATACACATGCACACACACTCACTCTCTTCATTTCATTAAAAAAAAGAAAAAGAACTTGGGTACTTACCTAATTTGCTTTTTAAATCTAGACATTGTGATATATGTGGAAATTGTAAAAGTTTTTTCCATTTTTTGCTTTTCCCTTTATTGCTGTCTGACCCTCCTGAAAAGAAAAAGAAAACAATAATTAGATATTTACTTAAAAAATACATATGTCTGGCGGTAAAGAATGGTTTGGCATTCACTGCAGGTAAATAAGAAAATGTTATGTTCGCCATATCACACAAAAGATAGAAACAGAAGCTGTCAAAGTGAAATGTCATTCAAAAAGAACAAAAGATAGAGCAAAATAATTAGCAACAGAAACAAAAAGTGAACAAGTAGAAATAAACATCACAGGAGAACAGGTAACCAAGATACTGATGAGAGATTTGTAGTTTGTTAAAAAGTATATAGACAATATGGAAAAGATGTTCTTACAGTCAAGTATATATATGTACAAAATCAGAAATGCCTGCTATTTACTCTGCTTATTCAAATATATATCTTAGTATGCACATTGTATTTCTTTTAATGTCAAAGAAACTGATACTGAACAAGAAAAAGAAACAAACAAAGAAACAAAAAAAAGTATATATTATATATAAAAACATATACACATATATGTATATTTATATATAAACATATACATATGTATATGTATATGTATATATGTATGTCTGTATATATATACATATATACATATACCTACATATATATAAATATATAACCTATAAACATATACCTACATATATACATAACATATATATATATACATATACCTACATATATACTTAACACATATATATATATATATATATATATATATATATATATATATATATATATATACATATAGATACATATATATAACATATATACACATACATACATATATATTCATATATAACATTTATCCATATATATAAATACATATATAACACATATACATATATATACATACATATACACAGATATATACACATATATATATTTACATATATAGATATATACATATACATGTATATACACACATATATATAACATATATATGCATATATACATATATATAACATATATACATATATATATATACACACATATATATAACATATATATGCATATATACATATATATAACATATATACATATATATATACACACATATTTGCATATATATAGACACACACACACACACACACACACACACACACACACACACACACACACACACACACACACACACACACACACACACACACACACACACACACACATATATATAAACATATGCCTTAAATTAAGCAACTGTCCCCCAGCCCTAGCATAAAAATGATTCAATAAACTCTAACAGAACACTACAACAGAAAAATATCAGAAGCACATCTTATTACTTTCAACAGAATAATACTCTTTCATCCCCAAGGAATAATGCAATCTTCGGATTGCTCTACACGGACTATGCTTCAATTACTCATAAAGAATCTGTAACATTTTCAATGCATGGTACATAGACTACACCTCGCTAAGAAAGGTCTAGGGTCAAGCAAACCATAAAGTCAGCGACTGCACACAAACATAATATATTAAGTATGCAAAGTACCTTCAACTGGGAAAGAAAAAAAATAATAATAATAATAATAAAAAACAAATACAAACATATAAAGCAGTTTTCCTATTTCTTCATATGACTGAGAGTAAAGTGACTAAGAATATATATAAATATTTCTGTGATCATAAATATGTTATGAAACTCCTTAGCTAGCCTTTAAGCACCGAAGCTCATGGATGACTGCCAAAATCTATATCATAATGTGACCTTTAAGGGGGTTATAATATCTTTTCCCATTACTATGCAGAAGACATGATACAAACACCCCAAAAAACATATATAAACAACATTTTTTAATATGAATATGCCATCAAATTCTTTTACAGAGCAGATACAATAGGATACTCTTTAATCACTTGAATAAATTTCCTGAACCAGTTACTAAAACAAATGAACTACCAGCAGTCAAATTCTGCAATATACAGCACTGCCTGCCTGCCTCCACATTCCTGCTTTATACATTAATATCAAATTGTACTTTTTCCAAAGTTAAGTAAGAACAAAAAGTGAAAAAGGGAATATACAATCTTACAGAAAGAGAAAATCATAACTTTTCCTATCATTTCTCTTATTGATCACTATCACACATGAAATAATCACGCTTGTGTGAGAAGACGGTTTTATTTTATTTGAGGTTTCTTCTAATCTATATAAATAAAAATTGGAAAAAAGAGGAAAAGAAAACTCCATGTGATCCTGGCAAATTGAACCCAAGAGGTTACTCTCGGGTTCAATTTGCCACGATCACAGTTCAGTGCATTTTTTGCATTATTCTATTTGCCTCAATCCTGACATTATTGTGTATCTGCTTCATAAACTGACAGACTATTTTGATTCATCGGAGTAAATGAAACATGTATAGCGTTTTACATGCAATAAGTCTGGTGCTCTCTAGAAATTCTCCTTCAGCACTAACTACCACATCATGTGTGATTGGTGGAAGATTGTACAGTCATGAATGACTGGTTCTCTCTCTCCCTCCCTTTCCCTCTTTTCTCATGGAAGAAAGGGTAGTGACATAATTAGATATATGATATATATGAAAAGATGGATATTGATTGATATCATGAGTAATTGTTTCTAACTAAATTATTGATTGACAGATAGGTTAATAAATTAGCCAAATGATAAATGAAACAATATACATACACCACCAGATGGTATTTAAGTCTTGCCCGCCTTCCCTTGCTTCTTGTTGAACATGTCCCAAAGGGTCTTTATCTTCTATTTATTTCTTTTTTATAACATAACATTTATAAGTAATAGAAAATTAGGTAACAAACCTGGACACTTGTGACATTTGTGCTACATACAAGCTTTTGTGAGAGTAATTTTTTACTTATCACACACTTGACTTCCCTCAACATGTAAGTGTGAAATAATGTCCCTGGCAATATATTCCTCACCAATTCTGATACTTAACTCGAGGCAGTGTGTGTGTGTGTGTGTGTGTGTGTGTGTGTGTGTGTGTGTGTGTGTGTGTGTGTGTGTGTGTGTGTGTGTGTGTGTGTGTGTGTGTGTGTGTGTGCGTGTGTGTGCGTGTGTGCGTGTGCGTGAGTGAGTGAGTGAGTGAGTGAGTGAGTGAGTGAGTGAGTGAGTGAGTGAGTGAGTGAGTGAGTGAGTGAATGAGTGAGTGAGTGAATGCGTGTATGTGTATGTGTGTGTGTGCAGGTACGTGTGAGTGTGCGTGTGTGAGTGTGTGTCTCATATGCATGCATGTACGCACGCACACACACGCACACACACACACACACACACGCACACACATAATATTCTCTTGGGCTCACTTCAATGGTGTGTATAGTTTGTCTATTTCCTCTTGCAAAACTAATACCATTGGAGCAAACACATGAATGCTTGATTCATTATAATTATAGAAGTGATGAAAATTAAATCTATAACTGTCAATATTCATTAACACCTTTTGGGACGGGTGTCACGTATACGTGACATACCCACTGTGAGTTTACTTGTTTAATTGTTTTTACACATAGATGGCTACACTTGTAATTGTACTGCCTGTCTCGCCCGTTTAACCTTTTCTCTAATTTACAAAAATATTTTGCATTATCTTATTTTGCTGTTACTAATGTTTATAATATTATAGTAATTATAATGTTTATAATAAAAATAAACATCAATATTCATAGCACTAGTAAAAATACATTTTCCCGCCAATTCATGGAAAGGTGAAATCAGGTAAGGCAGAGCAATCTATGTGTAGAGACATTTCACATAAATCTCAATCAAATACATTTTTTAAATAAACTTGGGAGACAATTTACTA